TTGTATATAGTAATTTGATTATGCTGCGCTCAGGTGTGCGTAATTAGAGGAGTGGACGAATGATCCGGCGTCCGTTCCGAAGGTCGTGGACGTATCCAAGTTCTTCAACCCGCAGTCGTTTTTGACTGCGATTAAGCAACTGTGTTGTCAACAGCAAATGTTAGAGTTGGACAAACTGATGGTATTCACGGAAGTGACCAAGAAAGAAAAATCTCAGATTGAGAGCTTCAGTCGAGAAGAAGCTTATGTGACAGGAATGTTCCTCGAAGTGAGTTTACCGAAAAAATGTTTTTTTGTGATTTTTTTTTCCAGGGAGCGCGTTGGGATATCAACGGGAATTGCTTGGATGAGTCCAAGCCAAAAGAAATGTTCTGCAAAATGCCAGTGATCCCAATGTAAGTTTTTTGCGTAATATTCGATATCAGTTTTGGTTTCTGTTCAGCTACTGTACCCCGCAGAGAAGACCATATTTCGTTTTCGCTGCGCAATTGCGTACGAAACACAACCCGGCTAAATGGGTGCTTGCGGGTGTAGCTATGATTCTCGATATCGGTGTAGCCGTTTGAGATCAGTGATGGCATGCTTGCAGTTGGAATGAGTTGTTGTTGATGATGATGATGATGATGATGATGATGATGATGATGATGATAACTTATTTCTTGCGTTGGCATCAGTGATCTTTACGACGGGATAAAAATTGAGCAGGTCCGGTAGAGCTGTATACTCGCATACAGGTATTGATATCGTTGGCATTTAACTTAGAAGATTGATTTGGTATCAAATCGTTCTACGCACCTGAGGATGGGAACCCAGAACTAAACTCCGGGAAAGAGGCATGTTAGACAGGATAATTGGCTGGAATGAAAACATTTACCCGCGAGGTCGACATGGAAGCCAACTATGAAACGAACTACTGCGTGATTTTCTATCGAGCGCAGTGCTTCAGCCGAGCTAGCTGAGCCACATACTCGTGCTGGATTATTCGCGCAGGTTGAGCTAAGCTCCATTACTAGCCTAGAATATTTCAACTGGTTGAAAATATTTGAGAGTATCGGTGGTCGGTTCAATTTCTTTCAGTTTTCTGTATTATTCGTTTCAATGGCTGGTTATTATTCATGGTCATAAGGGAGGGGTAAAGCAGTCAAGGGCAAAGGCAGGCGTTCCGCAAAGGTTGGAAACACCAGTGGACTCGACAACAAAACCTACAACCAGAATCTTGTTAGAGAGACTGGTCGGTTAGGTAAGATTGGTCTTTTTTGACTTGTGTCTTTCAGGTGGAGTATCAGCTCTTACCCATCAAGCTATGAGCAATACCTCTGCCGCTCTTATTATAAGAGCGGCAGTCAGGGCTGGGACTCATAGGGAGTGTAGTGGTAGTAGGGCTACGGCTCATAGGGAGTGTAGTGGTAGTAGGGCTACGGCTCATAGGGAGTGTAGTGGTAGTAGGGCTAGGACTCATAGGGAGCGTAGTGGTAGTAGGGCTAGGACTCATAGGGAGTGTAGTAGTAGTAGTAGTAGTAGTAGTAGTAGTAGTAGTAGTAGCCGATGTACCTTTACAGGACGTACACGGATAGACCGTCAAACTTGAACGTATATTGTTAAACTTGCTCGTATATTGTCAAAGTTGGTACGAATATTGTTATTCTTGGACGCAATATAAATTACTATGTCAACCTTGATTTTGATACTGTCATTCTTGAATGGAATATTTTCGCGAGATGTCAAACTTGAATTGCACATTGATATTCTTGAATGTTCAATTTGAAGATGTGTCAAACTTGAATCCTCATTGTCATTCTTGGATGAAACATTGTCAATCTTGTGTGTTCAACTGTCAAACTTGCACGGGAAAAGGTGTAGAGTTCGATATATTAACTAATGTTAGGCTTAGGGTTAGGGTAAATCGTGATTTAGGTTTTGGAATCCTAGGATTAGTTTTTACTAAAATGTATTATTCATTGTTACTCATTGTCATTAATCCCAATATTAGACAAAGGGGGCAGCTAATGGAGTTGAGTAAATTAGTAGATTAGATTCAGATTGAAAGAAGTTTTTTCACGTAACCACTAACTTCAGATTCGAAACTCGAGATTTATAAATCCGGAAACCTAATTGATATAACAAGATGGTCAACTATTTGGTCAAGTTTGGAGCGTTGGTCAACTAAACTATTATTATTATCCCCTACAACCTGTACAGCTTGATGCCTTAGTATGATTGTCAGATTGATCATTAATATCTATTCATAAGATAATTATTATTCAACCGCCCATACACATATAGATACCAAGAGATTGCCTTATTAAGCTTAGTCAATGCAGATTATAATCCTTACACACTTCTCCGACATTTACATCTACATCTACATCATCACACACTCCTCTCCATTCTCCGGATGCTTTTCCAGGTCTTCTCAAGATGTTATAGTGTAAGTTACTTGGATGAGTTTATCGCTTCTCATATTCATACCAACATGAAGGAGGCTCCTTCAAGGAGCCCTTTCTATTGTATGTTCGCAGAGTTTGATGTGTTGAGTGGTAAATAACCGAAGGGCCATTAGACGGGTGGTATCAGTGATGGCCCTTAGCAAGTGGAAACTCAGGACCGCTGTTCGCATAGGACACGTTGTTATAATAACGACGTTATTCCCTGTTGATATCGTTGATGGTCGGCATGACCATATGCTGGTGATGAGCAGTTACTGTATGATCATCATCATCATCATCATCATCCATGTCAGAGCTCATCTACTCATAGGGTAGAGGTGCCGAAGAGGTAGATGAAACTGCAGAAGAGTAATCATCCACGGCACGACTTGAACTTTGTTAGAGCTGGATGCCAGCCTGTTCTGTCCGACTGTAAATTCTCACAATTACATCGGGCTCTGCGAAGGAGGTATCAGAAAGGGAGTTTCCAAGACAAATGGAAATAGGATGAAGGATCATCATCCACCCCCGAGTTCATGCTAAGTGGAGCCGGTAGCTGTAGATCTCGTTAAATCTGGTTAAATCTATAAGATTCATGTCTGATCTGGTTGAAACTCTAGGAAATATATAGAAGAGAAAATCTCTCTTTTCTCTGACTCAGAGACTCTGAGAAATCGTTACTCCTATCGGATATTATTGCGAACCATCGCAAATTCTATCGGATATAGTAGAGTAAGCAATTGAGTTCGTATGGGCAAAGGAGGTATTGGGCCGAGCACGCAGCCCAGACGTTACGAAATTCTGATTTTTTCATTCAGGAGCCTGGCTCTGGTAGGCTGCCCAGCCTGGGTATGTTGACGTAGTCGTATCTTCAATATATTCAGCGACGTCTTGATCGAGCAATACCCACAACTGGCCGGATGACCAGTTTGTCGTCGCGTCTTTAGACGTAGGTCAATATCTGCCTTGTCGTTGTACAGGTTTCCCGGTGCTCTTATTGATACCGCTGCCAGGAGACCTCTGATGATTGTAGTTCTCACAACAACAGGCGTCGATAGCGCCGCGCAGTTGCGTTTCTCCAGCGATCACCATAATACAATACCATCTGAATAACTAAGACATATTTTCTTGGTTAAACCGATGCGCTCCCTGTTAATGGTGGTATCTGGAGGACTTCTACAGTCCTTAAATCAAGGTCGATATCCGTTGGTTTTCTCTCCCTTCTCTGGTTCAACCGCGATAGTTGCATGGCCTGGCTGTTAATCACTGACCTGTTTCCACTTTTCCTGCTCTTCAGCTCATCTCTCGGGGAATGACTCGCCATCGTCCGACAAGATATTTCGCTGAGTCCATTTTGGCTCGTCGCAGTTTTTTTTTCGTCGAATGTCGACCAACAACGATTATGGTATATGAATAGATCCGACTTAAATTCTGGAAGTTCAAGCATTCAGGTTCAGCGAAGCTGCCAAGTTCAGCAAAGATTTTATTGTGAAGGCGGTGAAAGAATACCCGGACTTGGAGCTCGACGCTATTGTCGCTTTCGGGATTTCGAGTTGGCGACACCAAATGTGAGAGCGGGATAGTCGCTTTGACTGGCTCCTTTGTCCCAATGATTGACGACGCTTGCTGCTGCCATCAAACTCGCTGATGCGCGGTTAGCTGCGCCATCGGATGCGGTGCGTAAACAAGTCTAACACCGTCGATATGCTTGCAAGCAAGAGCGTCACGATGGCATTCGTGGGCCTGGGAAGACTTTCTACGAGCTAAAGGAGTATGTTGAGAGACTGCCCAGCCCACCCAGAGACGACACCCAAGCATTCTGCTTGGCGTCATCTCTCGACCCCAATGATGACTATTTCGCATTCTTCAGCTGCCTGTCAATCCTCCGCAACCACGCGGATTCTACAATCCTTGTGGGTGATTTCACCCACAATTTATCGTGGGTTGGAATACCCACATTATTGTTGGGCACTCACTCTCGAAAAGGCGCATTTCAATTACTCTCGATTGGTTACAGCAGTCGCGAGGATTCTGTGCATATAGAGGCTGGTATGAGAGGAATTGTCCACTGGTGCGAGAGATTGGGTATCCCGCACCATCCGTTCATCCTGATCGCAGATTGTGCGGGTTGCTTCGGAAGAGCATTTGAGGCGGTAGTGCAGCTCTCAATACTGATGGTTGTTCGCCAGGAATGTCGTTCGCAGGTTCACGGGCTCTTCATTCCCGACCGGCTCGACGGAAATTATCGTCTCCCACCCTCTTTATCAGTCTCGGCCACGACACCACCTATTAATGTACGTGTGCATTGCCATGTGCGCATGCGCGACAACATTAATAAAGCACTCAAGAAGTATATTAAGCCTGCGAACGCAGGCGAGAAGCAATGGGCAGAGAAGCAGAAGGAGAGCTTTAGACAAGCTATTGCCTTCATACAGAACTCATCGTGTGAAAGACACTTCCGAATTGCATGTCAACTCATGGTGTCGGCTTGGGAGCTTCATCATAAAGAGATGGTCGACTATTTTCGAGAGCATTGGGTACACAAGAAATGCATGTGGGCACAGGGAGTACCGGATGATGTGATGCCGCTCTTGATAGAACCTAAGCAAGACACAAATGCTCGATGTCAGATACCAAACTACATTTCAAGAAGTAATAATGCATGCGAAGGAATGAATAACGCACTCAAATACGGTAAGTCTTACATGAAACCACCATTCATATCACTCTTTAATGCGGCTCTCACCTGGTCAGCCTGATCAGGAAAGCTGTCTTAGGTATGATAGAAAAAGGTACATCGATAGCTGACCTTACCAGCCAACTCTGTACGGATGCAAGTCTGTACGGACTATGGCCGCCAAACAGCCCTTATAAGAGTCTTATACCTCCGACTACTCCTGGCTCTGCAGCCCTCTTGACCACACCTACGGGAAGGTGAAGTTTGTCAATTCCTCAACTGAA